TAAGAATATACATTCCCAGGAGCCTAATCCGTATGTGTATTAGCGCAGGGCATTCTAACAGCACATGTGTGGCCGACTCCTCCTTCTCTTCACAGAATCTATAGTTTGCGTTCGTAAGTATACTCAGTCTTGTAGGGTGGTGTTTTATGTATGTTACGTATACTCAAACAATTGTTATTTCAGAATCTTACTCTGATATAACTTAACTCCTTGGATTAAATATTATTTTTCAACGGTTTTGCCACATGTCCTCACATAAAATATAAATACATTTGTGGCGTATGAACTGTCATAGAAACCAGCCAAAAATAACACTCACAAATGCTAAAACCGCGGACAGAAAAATGTACGTGCACTTTAACTTATTCTTCGCTTAATAAAAGTGAAAAATAATATATATATATATATATGTATGTATATGTATATCCGTACATATAACTATACACATTTGATTTAAAGTATTTTTCATTAAGCGGAACTGGATCGATCCATTTTCAAGAGCTCAAAATGTTGATTGAAAAGGGAATTGAACTCTGTTAAGTCATTCTGTATGCATATTATAAGGGCATAGAAATATGCTTAAAGGACATGTAGACGAAATTGCACCACCCTCGCGTGACTGTTGCAGGCGGCATTAAAACAACCCTTCGATCGCATTCTCAGTGCATAACGGACTTTTGACCTTTGTAATAGCGTGCGCAATATCGAACGATATTACTGTTTGCAGCAACAGTAGAAGCATAGAGCACGCGCCAATTGCTATGAGGGACTCTCTACCCGCAATCATATTCTTATTATAAAAATATAAACTTATAGTTGGAGGGGTGCACGCTGTTTTGTTGTGCTTCTCTAATTCGGGCGCTATTAATAGTGACTAAACTGTCTTAGTGTGCTTACAAGGGTGTAACCAGATAAAATAAAGAAAGAACGCATTTTCATAAAACAAAAACACACCAAACAACCCCCATCGCGGGTGTATCTGACAAAAGTTCAGTTACTCATTCATTACAAACTGACAAATTAGACGGCATATGTTAAGTTAGCTTCTGGTATTATTATTTCAAATAAAATTTTAAAACGGAAACTCTATGAAATAAGAACAGATTAAAAAAATACAGTAAGCGCAAATTATTGTACACTTCTATTCTCTATTTACGTAATATGAAACCCATATCAGAATTATTTACAATCTAATTCAAGTTTTCTTGATCCAATTAAGAATATTTAACAAAATAATTTTATTAAGATCTCGTACTGAGCTAAGATATAGATATATTTTTCAGTTATTACACAGGACAGCTTTCTTGTATTATATTGTTTTATATCCTCTATGGATAACTAACAAAAAATCTTGTAGTGAAGAATAGAAAACATATGATTTAATGTAAAATAATTAAAAACTGAAGTCATATATATTAAAAATAAAGTCATATATAGTCATGTATATATACATATATATATATCATATATATTTATAAATATTTGCGCTATAAATATAGAACTGATTTTACTAACAAAAAAACAAACATAACACGATCAAAATATTTTAGTCAATCGTTGAAAATAATTTTAAATTAAAATAAAAAAAAAACAAATAATTAATAAATTTAAGGTAATATTTGGTATTGCAATGGGAACATTTAGTTCATTCTACAACACAAATCAGGAGTTGCAGTAAAGAATTAGCAGGAAAAAGTTTTATTTGTGAAAAATGCCATTAAAATTGTGCGAAATAAGAATTATTTTTCTGTAGATAGACTCTTACGATATTAAAGTAACTACATATCTGACACTGCAATTTCTACTTAAAGTTTTTAGCAAAATTTTGAACTTTAAACCACTGTGCATATAAAATTAACAACAGCAATAAAAAAACGACTTTAGCGTCAATTAACGCTTTTTTCTTATAACGAAAAATTGCTATATAAATTCAACATTAATGAATTCGCTGAGGGCTTCAGTTACACTCTTTCGCAGAGCATAAGAAGAATACTGCCCTGAAGAGTCCATGCTGCGGAGTGTCATAAGCGCGAGAAACGGAAATGCACATTGACAAAGACAATTGCCAATTATTTGTATGCTGTTGACTCCTTGTGAATTGTTCTTAGGCATAATTCTGTAAATGGAATGGATAATTTTTATTCTTGTAAAAAGTTGGGCACGGCTCCAGATCAACAAACATCATTTAAGGTGTTTTATTTTTGTTCGGTTGTAGTGAAATGCGTTTCACAGCTTCTTCCGCAGTAGAAGAGCAGCAAAAATAAAAAATTCTGCAGTTTTTTTTGCTATGTTGGGATGAAAATATGTATCTAAGCTCTGGTGATTCGAAACTCATTAAGTGACCCTTGGTCGATACTCCTTTTTTAGTACTGTATATGTGGAGATGTAGTTTGATAATGAAATAATGGTACTTGTACAGAGAACACTTTGCGTGGCATATTTTGATATGGTTTTTAACACTTTAAACTTTGGGCTCCAAATCCATCCAGCCATCCATTGGTTAAGTTGTAAAATTCTACGAAATATTCCTCTTTCTCTTCTCCAACTGCTCGAAGGGTTTTTCTTCTCAAATATTATCTGTAGCAGTTTGTTCGTGTGCTGTGTGTGTGCTGTCTGTCGTGGGCTTCAGTTACTCAGATTGCATCATTGCATCACAGCAAATCTGCACGAGCAGTATTGGTGGCGTCGACGGCGTCGATGGCGGCAATGCAAAGAGGTTAGCAAAAAAATATGATTACAAAGTAAAAACAAAAAAAAAACGCTGTGTACGAAAACAAACAACTCAGACAGTGCGATTCTTCGCCTGATCCGTCCGTACTTTAGTATGGCACATACATAATTCCCTAACTGCGGAGGATGTTGTTTATGCCTCCGTTGTTTGCCATAGTGAATGTTGGATGCGGTCGTTGGAAGCATGAATTACAGCGAAACAAAACAATGAATTCCAATTCCAATTTCAACTTTAATTTCAATTACAAATGAAAATAAGCTGCAATCATTTTTTGTTTATTTTGCTTTATTTCAACAGTTTTTGCCGTTCTTCGCATTTATGCAGTATTTGAAATGTTGGAGTTGTTCGGCGTTTTGTTCTTATTCGAAATATCAAAGTTACAATTGGAATGCAAAATATAATTTCCTGCTTTTTACTAGGTTACATGTGTTTTGGAACTGAAGGAATTCTCCACAGTTCTGACGTTAATTATATGAAATTAGCGCGTTTTAAGTTATTTTAGAAAGTTGTCACTTGATTGACGAACATCTTAAGAGTTAAGCACGTTTAACTAATTGACCATAATTATTTTGCTTTTCTCAAGAATTGTAAAATAAATTCAAATTTTATGCCATAATAGCTGTAATCCATAATTGCTATACCGTTTTGAACGTTAGAGTTATATGAACAGATCAATGTCCACAATTTCAACATGAAGCACATACGAAAGTTTATTGCAAGATCAAAGAATTTTTTGATCAGATTCAATGGGCATTGAATCATCTAAACACAGTATACAGTATAAATATTTGGAGAAAGACACAGAGTAGAGCAGTTGAACCATTTTGTTG